TAAACACCTTTCCTTGCTTTATTTCTATTTGATTTTTTATCTACAGTTGTTTTTGATTATCGTTTCCTAATGAGTAAGAAATAATTGATAGGAACGTTATTATAACGGTAATCAATAGCATATAACGTTTTGTAATATGTAGTTTTTAACGTTCAATCATTAAATGTTCATTTAATGCATCAATATCATCATGAGTAACTTTGGCATTTCAATATTTTTAAAATATTTTTGCAGTATTCAAAAACATCATATCCCATTTTAAAAGATGCACTCTAATAATACTTCAGCTAAGCATATTCAGCAAAAATGTTTCAGATAAAAGTTATATGGTTCGATGGAGGACATAAGAAGGTACCACTGGTTTGATCTTGCGTGGCGTCGTCAACCTCAGGTCGAGGTCAACTTTACTTTTTTAAATAGAAATATGTTTTTTATTACGAAATTTTATTCTACATAAAGAAACAAACAAGAAAACTTAAAAGAATAAAGAAACAAAGAAGAAAACTTTTGTTTGAAAACATTTTTTATACTACCTCTATTTTCAAAGATATTTACGGAAATATCTACAAAATTATTGGTTTTATTTTTTACTCGAATTCTATTAACTTTACCGAAAAATAGCAAGAGATAAAAATTGTTTATTTTTTCTCGTTGTGCTCTGAGAATTTTTTCAAAATTTTTTAATTAACTTTTTAATACATAAGAAAATGCAAGGAAATGCAGTACTAAAAAGTTAATTTAAAAATTTCGAAAACAATTTTTAGAGCTCTATGAGAAGAAAATAGAAAATTTTTATCTCTTGCTATTTTTCGGTAAAGTTGATAGAATTCGAGTAAAAAATTATTGAAACCAATAATTTTGTAGATATTTCCGTAAATATCTTAGGAAATGGAGGTCGTATAAAAAATGTTTTCAAACAAAAGTTGTTTGTTTCTTTATGTAGAATAAAATTCTGTAATAAAAAAATTATATATGTTTCTATTTAAAAAAAACAAAGTTGACCTCGACCTAACGTTGGCGGCGCTAGGCAAGGTCAAACCGTATCTTTTTATATTTTCCATTGAACCATATAACTTTTGTTTGAAATATTTTTGCTGAATATATACTTGGCTGAAGAATTATCATGGTTATTTTTTAAAATAAGACACCTTGTATACAGAGTCTCACACTCTACTCCAGGAATTTTGTGGGAACGTAGAACAGGTTGTGGTGAACATAAAAGTCCTATACCGTTTTGTGATATTCGCAATAATTATTGAGATATTAATTGTAGAAAACTTGTAAATGATCATGCAGAATATGGTAAATGAGTTATAGTAGCGATGACTGCCGTCGTGTACTTATACTTTAGGTCAAATTGAACAAAAAAGTCCTCTATCATTTTCCAAATAATCACATAGATTTTTAATTATTAATTAAAAAAGATTATTTCACGATTTTGCGTGGTAATGAATTCATCTTCTTTAATTAATAATTAAAAATCTATGTGATTATTTGCAAAATGGTAAAGGACTTTTTTGTTCAATTTGACCTAAAGTAAAAGTACACGACGGCAGTCGTCGCTATTATAACTTATTTACCATATCCTCCATGATCATTCACAAATTTTCTACAATTAATATCTCGATAATTATTGCGAATATCGCTAAACGGTATAGGACTTTTATGTTCACCTCAACCTGTTCTACATCCCCACAAAATGCCCGAAGGAAAGTGCGAGACATTCTGTATATAGAATGACCTAATTAAGAATTATCTAATTAAGAATGTAGAAGCCAACGATTTTCTGCTGTATTTAGCTTATGATGTTTTTTATTAAATAAAAAATGTAATATGAGTTTTTATCATATGTTATGTCTAAATAAAGAAAAATCATGTAAAGAAGAAAAAAATCGTTAATCTTAAAGAATTTTTATAGACAAAAATACTTTTTAAATAGAGGAATTTTTTATAGGGCGATTATTTAATATCGACAATACTTTAATAATTAAATATAAAAATTTTAGAATTAATAGATGGATCCAGTATTACTAGCCGCTCATTGAGCTCTTGAATCCGATTGGCATATTCCTTTAGATCTAATTAGATTTTCAGCAATTAGATGCAAAAGCTTACTAAACGCTCAGTGAATATTTGTACATTGACAAAAAAATTTCATAAAATGAAAAAAACATTTTTTTATATCAAATTTACTAATCAAAATAAATATTTATTTCGTTTAAAAAAATATTTTTTAATATGAAATAATTTAGGAATTGAATCAAATAATAATGACTATTACCTGAAATCAAATATGAAATTTTTTAAATCAATGAAATATGCACAAAAATAAAAAAGATGTATATTACAATTTAATAAACCGAGTTTCTTTAAATAAGCTGAAACAGCTTCTTCTTAAAAAAAATCTAAAACAGCTGAAAACAATGAAATTCCTTTTTAATTTGAAATAAATCTGCTTGTTTACATATAATGCATGAATTGGTTGATATTATTTATTAATAATAAAAAAATATATTATTGAAAATATAAAATAGTACAATATAAGGGAGGTATATTCAACAAATTTGATATAAAAAAATATATATTTTTGTATTACGAAATTTTTCTTTAGAAAAATAGATAGGGGATAAAGGTTTACGTAGAAATCGTATAAATGATCATCGTGTGAAAAAATATTAAAATTAAGTTATTTAATTAAATCTTATTATCAAAAAATTATGTTACTGTGTTAATTATAACACATATAGACAAAATATAAGACTTTCATATCGATCGAAGAAGTGATGTAATGTCTAAAGCAACGGATCCAGAGATGCCTTCAGGATCCGAGTTCCACTAGTGCCAGTGAAAATTTTTAAATGTAATGTAACGCTGGAATCAAGTAATCTAAAGTTTTCAAGTAAAATCAGCAAACATATACCTTAGGAATATTTTAGGAATTCATTGTGCTTTCTTGAATATGTTATTAGTCTAAAATACTTGTTATTTGAGATAAGAAAATAATTTTGTACTTTCAAAAAAATATTTGTTTTGCTTAAAAAAATATTTTATTTTTTAAAGAAATTATTTATTATTATTAAAATTACAATATTTGGATTTAAAAAAAGATTTCTTTAAATTAAAACCTAAAATTTTTTAAATTAAATATTAAAAGATATTGAAATAAGTATTTTTTTACTTTACATTAAAAATTTGTTATTTTTAACAAAAATTAATTTTTGTCTTTGTAATGCATATATATTTTATTTAAATATATTTAATATTACATTGAAAAAATATTTAATTAAACATATTGAAATAAGTTGTTTTTTAATTGAAATAATTTTTTTTTTTAATTATAATATTTTTCTTTCAGTGTAATACTGAATGTACCCAATATTCCTGAATATTTGCTACAGCCATGTTAAATCGTAAAACCCTTAATTGATGACGTTAGAGGCAAAAAATAATACGCTGAAAATTCTTATATGTCATTTTTAAATAAAAAATATTTTAATAAAAGAATTTTAATAAAAGAATTTTAATAAAAGAATTTTAATAAAAGAATTTTAATAAAAGATATTTCAGACTGCTTACAAAATAATAAACTATTATTTTCCTTAGCCAAGGATCAATATACAGAGTATCCCAGATCACCTTCACAATCTCTCGTGAGGACGTAGAGCGGATTGAAATGAACATAAAAGTCCTATATTATTTTGCGATATTTGCAATAATAGTCAAGATATTAATTAAAAAAGATTGGTAAATGATCATGCACGATATGGTAGGTGAGCTGCAATGGCGCCATCTGCCGTTGTATACTTGTACATTAAGTCAAACTGTACAAGTCTTCTGCCATTTTGCAAATGACAACATAAATTTTCAGATAGTAATCATAGAAGATAGAAGATAGTAATCATTTAAATAGAAAATTGTTACAACATTGTGTACTATAATGCACAAATTTTCTTTAATTAATATCTGAAAATCTATATGATCATTTGCAAAATGATAGAGGACTTTTTATTCAGTTTGACCTAACGTGTAAGTATACAACGGCAGACGATATCACTGCAGCTTATCTACGATATCACGTGTGATCATTCACCAATCTTTTTTAATTAATATTTTAAGATTTATTGCAAATATCACAAAATAGTATTAAACTTTTGTGTTTATCTCAATCCGCTTTACATCCTCACGAGAGATTGTGAAAGTAATCTGGGATACCGTATATAACTGTAAAATTGACGTGAAAAAATCATGAGAAAAGGTAAGTTAAAAAGAAATGTTACATGTCATATTAATTTTACCGTTATTTATTATTAAAAGAAAAGAACAATTTTGGTAGTATTTTACAAATATGTTCAAACGTGAATTAAAGTATTCTTTCGTATAAATATCTTTTTATTTCAAAATAATATGCAAGAATTTTGAGTATACGTTTTCTTGCTTCTAACGACATCAATCAAAAGTTTCGCGGCAGACGAATCTTTAAATCAAAACGAATTGCGCGTGGAATGTTCCATATATAATATATTAAATTTTAAATAATTATCACAAAAAATTTATTTTCGGATTTTCTATATATAAAAACGTAACATAAGAAACATATTAGAAGTTCCATGTAATAAATTATTTGTTGACCAGTATAATATGTAGATTAATAAAACGTTAGATTAGCGACTGATTATTTCTTACCTTTTTATCTCTAACAGATGAGGATAAAAACTAGTGCCGGTGTACTGGGTCCCAAGGTAGAAGTTAAAGGAATAAAATGATGATTAGACACACTTGACTTTGTCGCAGCGGGAAACAAGAAAGACTCACAAATTAACAAGAGCCGCGTTTTCGTTAACTATCGCAGCTATTATCTTACTGCATGTATTTTACGGTCATGCAATCACACAGCATCGGTATCATCGGAAGAAGGAGAAAAAAAGAATCCGTGGAAGTTGCGTATGCGTTTGTCACGATCGACATCGCGGTCAATGTTTTAGCGTCTTTAGTGTGCGTACACGCGAACACCCGATGAAAAATAGGCGTGGAGGGAGCGTGTTGAGTCAAGGATGGCTGATATAAAGTCGTGCGAGTTTATAAAACGGAGACGAACTTACTCCAAAACCCAGTTTTCCAACCGATCGCGCGACTAGAAACACACGGTATTCTGTCATTAAAACAAAGTGTCCATTCAGACGCTCAAAAGCCGTTATCGTCAGTCGTTTATCCCGCATACAGAAAAATCGGCCAATTGATATATAACGAAAAGAGAGTGATTGTAATATAACGAAAAGAGAATAGATCGGAAAATTTTCAACATACGTCAATTCAACGGCGACTCATTGATATCAAACATTCTCTTGTCACGCAATAATTCTTCGTAATAATATTTTTCACTCTTTTGTAAGTAGATATTTCTAGACTCAAAGAAATACTAGAAATATTGTCTAGAATTCTAGACAATATATTATTTGATTAAAGATACATACATATGTATATATATATATATATATATATATATATATATATATATATATAT